GCATTTTTGAAGAAACATTTCTAATTCTTTCAGATTCTTTGAATAGTTTTCTTTTGCTTAGAAATGACATTCAAGTTTATCCCATAAGTATTCAATGGGATTAAGGTTCAGACTTTGTCTGAGCTATTATAATAAAATTATCTTTATCTCATTCATAAAGGTTTGTGTTCTTATGCTAGTATAAATTGGAGCATTGTTTTGTTAAAAAAATTACTTCACATTTTCTTCATCAAATTCTTCTAAAAATGGTATTAAATAATAGCCAAGAATCTCTTCTATATATCTTTCACTATTAATCTGACTGTTAATTCTTACTAAAGGGCCTAACTTAAATCAAAAAAAACATCCTCACATCATGACTCTACTTCTACTATGCTTTACAGTTAAAGCAAAGCAGTTAACATTATATTTTTCCTTTGAAAGATGCTAAACCCTAATTTTTCCATCATTTTAGAATAAGGTAAACCTTGATTTATCATTTTATATCACCTTTTTCTAATCATCTATTATCTATAAATGTCTTTCATAAGTCCAGTTTAAACAGATTTTTCTATTAGATTTACTAATTAATAGTTTTTGAAAAGTTGCATAGTTATGATATTCAAGTTCATATAATGTACACTTTATAGTTCTTTCATTAACTTCACTTCCAGTAAATTTAGTAAAGTTTTCATGTATTTTTGCTAATGGTTTACGTCAATTTTGAATAATGATTATTTTAAGATGCTATTTATCATAGTTAGTTAAAATCTTCAGACGTTTACTTTGAGAAGCAATATCAATAGTACCTTTTTCATTGTATTTTTTTATGATATTGTGAATAGTAGTTTTACCATAATTTAATTTTTGCACAATAGCCCTTTCTGAATAATCATCTTCGTGAAGAGCGATAACCTTTTTACGTTCAAAATTGATAGTTCTGCGTTTTTAATTATTTTATTAAAAAAAATGATAAAAAAGAGATATTTATTTATTGATTATTATATAATACAAATTATAGTTTATTTATAGCTTTATTTAGTTACATATGTATAACTAGATGTGTATTAAATTCAGATCATTTCACAGATCATAGGGTTGTCCTAAACTTTTAGTCAGAGAGTGTACAATAACATAGGATTTAATTAAGAAAAATTTAGAAGGAAATGAAAAAAACTATATATATATAATTAAGTTTATGAATTAATAAAATAATTTAATATGTTATAGTAAAATTTAAACTTTTTATACAAAGATTATTATTAGATGATTATTTTTCAGCATAAAGAAAATCAAAAAGTAATTATATATAATATAAATATTTAATAAAGAAAAGTCAAGAAAAGATAATAAAAAATCTTTTACTATCATAATTATATTATATAAAATATAATTTAACCTTATATTATAATAAAAAAAAAGTAATTATTTTAATAATTTTTATTTTTGTAAAGATAATGATGATTAAAATGAAGTTTATTTTAATTTTAACATATATTATATTTTACTTGATTATTTACAATTTAAAAGAATTAGTATAATAGTATATTTTACTAATATTCTTTTATTTTCTTCTTTTAACTAAAATATTTTCTTTAATCTATACTTAATTTTAGTATTGCATCATTATCTTATATTATAAAAATAAAAATACAATAATGATTTATAATTTTATAACAGAATTCTAAATATCTCTTATTTAACTCACAAATAATTTATAATAAAATGTATTTTTTTACAATAATTTAATTAATATAGATACTAAAAATATAATTTTACTATTATTAGATTTCTTTCATCAAGATAATTCTAATGAATTTAAGATAATTAAAATCTAATTACTAATTAGTTTTAAATTTAGAATATATAGGATAATGAATTTTAAAAATCTTTCTGTAATATGTAATTCTGATCAAAATTTACATATAAATTCTATATAAACTCTAATCTGAGTTATATAAAAGAATTAGCAATCCTGATTCAAATCGTAAAATGTGAATCCTTATTATAAGTTACACTACAATAGATCTCAGTTTAACATTAGCTAAATGCAAATTGTAGTATTAATTTACTGTAAATTTTACTGGTTCAATTTCAGGAATAAATTTCATAGGGTGTATACAAACTATGCATGTGAATAGATTACAAATTTGTAGAATTTGATAACCCTTGAAGCTATCTATATGTGGCATTTCTGTGTTTTAAGCTTTTTCAATAACAGGTAGAGGCTATAATTAGTAGATCCATTTAGAATCACTGTGAAAAGTAAAACTAATGATACAGTGGGGTTGGCCTGTAATAGGCAAGTATCATATCATTTACTTAAGGTTAGCATACAGGTAGCATCTAATAGTAGACATGTAAAGTGATAACTTAAGTTATAAGTTTCAGATGATTGATCTTACACTGTCTTCAACCATTATGTATTTTATGTTAGGAAGAGAGGTTGGGTTTGATTCTCAAGTTATTTGACAGTATAGTGAGTTTGGTCATTCCTTAGATCAGGAATGAAATACCTTACTTAACTTCTCTATCTAATAGTACAGCTGAATTTTTAACAATGCTAAAGTACTATCTGTTAGTCTATAAAGGCTTTAATTAGGGTCTTATCCTAAATACAACATCTGTTAGACTGGTTACTAACTTAGCAAAAACCTATTAAGTTTTCATAAGACTTTTGTAATAATTTTAAAATTCTTTTTATAATAAATAAAAATATATTTATATAACATTCTTAAAAGGCATTTTAAGAAGATTCTTAAGATATTATCAAAAGATTTAAAAATTATATAATCATTTTATAATCATTTTATAATACACATTTTAAAACTATAATATAATTATATTATGTAGCATTTCTTTCACTTTTATTATTATATCTAGAAAGTGCTGACATTATTTTTTGAGAATGATTAAGATATGGATTATTAGAGCGTGTTCTAATACTTCTTGATTCTTGTTTACTTGGATTAGTATTTATTCTTGTTCTTATTTTCATTGTATTAAAATATTAATTTAAAAGTAAACGATATTAGAATTAAACGAAATAAGTTAGAACTTTTTTTTTGTAATGTATATATATATACTTAAATAAGCTTTTTTTCATGATGAGTATAAAAAAATGCTGATTGGTATGATTTATTTTAGCTTTATAGAATTATTTAATATATTAATTTAGTGAAAAGTAATCTTTTAATGGAAAAAAAATAAATTAATTTAGTGATGCTTTTACATTTAGAAACCAATTATTTTAATATATCAATTTAATGAAAAAAATTTTAGTGATGCCTTATATTTAAAAATCAATTTAACAAAAAATGTCAAATTAATTTAGTGAAATTGTATTACATCTTGATTAGTATATATATACACTTGATACTATATATTTGTCTTATTTAATTCTTTTCTTTAAAAATGGGAAGATCAAAACCCATGAGAAAACCATTTTTTTACCTAATACAACAAAATTAAATAATAGTATAAGAGAAGAATCACCTGCAATTAAAGTTATAATTAAAGATAAAAGCTTAAGTAAAAATTTATTCTATCAATGATTTAATGATTTTTCATAATGATTACATAATAATTTATACATTATTATTTTAGCTATATTTGTTAGATTATGATTTAAAATTAACAATACAACAAAAAAATCTTCAGAAAATAAATTCACATTAACTAATAAATACAAATCAGTATTAAAAGATGAATCTAACAAGAAGAAACGTATACTAACTATTGACAATTTTAATCAAAGAGATCAGAGTTTAAGTATCAGTTTACCATCTTTAAGAAAATCTGAAGGATCATTGAAAGCAGAATTACCATCATATGCATTTTCATCAGATAGCTAAAATGGTAACAATAATATAAATCTAACAATAATAATGAAATGATCAATGAACCAGCTCCTATTTAACTAACTTCTGATACTGCAGCTTATAATACTAGTATTAATACTCAAGCAGCTTCTAGTACAGTTCCTGAACCTAGTGCTCAAGCAGCTGATATTAGTATCAATACTCAAGCAGTTTCTGGTATTGATACTATTAGTACATTACAAGATAATGATAAAGTGAAAATTGAAAGACTTGTCCAGAATTTCATTAATATTTTTATACAAAATCCAGAACTATGAAAAGAGTTTAAAGAAGTTGTTAATTCAAGCCCAACTGATATTATTAAAAAAACTCAATCTCATAATAATCCTGCTATTAAATTGCAACCATCTAATGTAATTATAATTGTTATTAATATTTAAATTCACATTGGCTATATTATATTTTTTAACATTTTAGATTATTTTTATAGGATACACTGATTACACCAATGCAATCAAATGATGAAAAAGAGGCTAAAAATTTTCTAATGAAATGTAAGTGTCTATTTTTGCGAACAAAAACTTCTTTTACTATTTATAATTAAAAAGATTTGATCTCAATATATTTATAATACGTTCTAATCTACTAGTGCTTTAACAAAAGTACATAATAATTTTGACTCTTAACGTAATAATCTTAACAGAGAATTAAAAAGACTGCAGAATTATTTGTCAAACAAAAGAGGTAAGTATTAGGTTATCATTATATTATCTTTCTTTATAAGTACTAGTACTTACGAATTTCTTTGAATAGTTTTAACAGCATGTTTAGTAATTTCAATATTGTACATTTTGTCAATAACGATATTGTAAAGAATGTTCTCAGATTTTAGTTAAATAACTTAAGATCAAATTACCTAGAAAATGATGAATCTACCTTCAAACCACTAAAAAAATTCATTAGAATAGCACTGGAAATACATTTAAAGCATATTTTCAATGGAAATGAAAAAATTAGATATTCAGTGAATGTTTTAAAGAAGATAAAAAGTGATCATTTGACAGACATCATAAAAGGTATTGATGTACCCAGTTTTAGTAGGTTGGATTTTACCAATGATGTGTAAATTTAATAATAGCAATACTTATGGAATAGCATACTTTTTTAATGATTATTTTTGCTGTTTTTGCTGTTTTTTTTTTGCTTTATTTTTTTTGCAGTTTTTTGGTGAGTGGTTGCAATAATGTTGGAAATATTTTCCTGTTTAATAGTAATTTAATCAGTTTTTTAGCTTACTTAGTATTTCTTTTACGTGTTTATCTATTCCTTTTGTATAATTATAAAAATATGAAAATGTAAAATACGAAAAAACTTATTATAATAAATAGTATGCAATAATTATTATACAATGCTATACTAATCATTTTACATCTTTATAAAATACAATAATAAGCATTGTAAAACCATTTTATTTTTTAAAAATTTTGCAATAAAATCAAAAGCTTTTATTAATATTGTAAAAAGGTTATGTAAGGCTTATAAAATATGCAAAAGTCTTTTATAATCATTATGACTTTTTAATGGATTTCTGCTAAGAAATATATTTTAGTTTAAATGTACTATAAAGAGTGGTAGTCAGGCAAAATCGTTATAAATTAGTGGTCAATTGATGTCATTGTTGATAAAATAACCAAGCTTATAGTCAGATCAGCAACTAAAAAAAATTCTGAGTTATATAAGAAATTTTAGAATCCTGTTATAACTAGCTACATTTTACTAATATTTTAAAATAATTGTATAAAACTTAATCTAATATGATTTATAATACTAAAATTAAAATAGCGTTATTATAAAAGAATAAGTAATAGAAATAAAAAATTTATAAAAATTAAAAGAAAGATATCATCTGCTATTAACATGATAAAGATAATATAATAGATAATTGTAAATAATTGAAAAATAATAAATTTTAAATGATTTGAAGTAAATAAAAATTATTTTTTTTTAGATAATTTCAAGGTTGATTTTGTATTTTTTATATATTTTATTTATTTATTTTTTTATGATAATAATAATATTATAATAATAAATATTTAAGATAATTTTAGGAAATTTTGAGAGGAAATAGATTATATTTTTATTATTTTATTATTATTTTATTATCTTTTAATATAGTTTCTACTTTTTTATTATATTTTTTTTAATAAGTAATTAATTAATAAATTTAGTAATAATTTTATATTGATTTTATATGCTTATTTGACTGAATTAATATTAAATTTTAGGCTAATTTATGATGCTTAAATTCTGAATCAATGCTAAATTATTTGTTTGATTAAAGTTAATCAATAATATTTTAGGCTAATTTATAATTGAATTTAAGTTTTGAATTGATATTAAATTTATATTATATTTATTCTAAATTGAAATTAATTTTAAACAGATTTATAGTTGAATTTAAATTCTAAATTAATGCTGATTGTCTTATTTAATTAGAGTTGATCAGCAGTAATTTAAAAATTTAAAAAATATAATCATTAATTGTAAATAGTATTATTTAGGAATTTAATTTTTAGCTATTTTGATTAGTGATACTTAGTAATTATTAATACTATTTATTAGAAATTAGTGAAATAGATAAAGAAATCATGAAAAATCTATTATTATTATAAGTAATTATATTATTTTTATCTAATTTATTTAGTATATTTTATTTATATTCTTTCTTATTTTTCTTTTATTAAAAATTTTCTATTATTTGTATTAAAATCTATAATACAAAACCTCTATAATAGGAATTTAAAAAACATTAATAAAATTTAATCTACTGAATAAATTTTAATCAAATAAAAAAATGATTTATATTTGTAAAAATAAATCAATTTATAAAAAAAAAGTTTTTTTTTTAATTTTGAAAATTATATAAGCATTGTGTAATATATATATAAACCAATTAAAAACTAGAATTAAAAATTATATAAAATAATTTATTTTATTTTATTTTATTTTATTATTTCATTATAAATTGCATCAGATATATAATAATGAAACTTATATTTTTTAGCTGCAATTCTACCATTTTTCTAGTAATATCTTTTTTATAAATATTTATAAATCACTATAATTTTTATGCATATTTTTAAATTGTAATTAAAGAAACTGAATTTAATGCTTTAAGAATAATTTATTATAATCTAACCTATGTGTAATTGCAATATTCTTATGTATTTCTTTTGCTATATTCTAATACATCTTTATATAATTCAATTTACAATAATATTTAAGTTAAAATATACAAACGATAAAAGAATCATTTTTATAAATTTGTTGTCATATATTTTTTTAATTTCAGTTTTTATAATTAATTTTAGATAAATTTAACCTGATATAACTTTATTAATATTGAAGATATTAAAAATTTATTCTATCAATGATTTAATGATTTTTCATAATGATTACATAATAATTTATACATTATTATTTTAGCTA